CAACTTTCAACAAAACTGCGGCCGTTTGGGAAGATCTCATACGCCCGAAAAATTACCATCAAATGTTAAAACTTTATGTCAAAGTTTTCCTCCTTCGAACCACGGTTTCAGAGAAATTTTGGGTGTGCGTCCAGCCCACGGCATACGAGCATTAGGCGTGAGAAACCAGTTCAAAAATTGCCAAAAATGTGAATTTAAACAAATGTTAATACGGGTCATTTGAGGAACCAGGAACATGTTCATAGTTTGTGCAACGCAATGTTTTAATGGATGAGAGATAATAATATTAATAATAATAAAATGTCGATGAATAGCAGGCAGGATTGGGCGGGACATTTGAATTTATGCAGTTGAATTCAGGGAGATTGGGTGGGAGAAATTTTCAAGCGTTTCGTACGATACAGTAAGCACCAAATATTTGACTGCGACTAACTTAATCACCAAGGTCTTCACGACCCTTGACATAAGGTATCCCTGGTATCCAAGCCAGCTTACCTATGGAATAGCCACAAAGAACCCGGGTTTTGGTTTGTTGTATTTAACCGCAAACAGAAATTGCCACACAACACTCAGTACTTATTTCCGTCCTTGTGGGTGGCCGGTCGACAGCAAAGGTCATTAGGATGCAACTTTATCAGATATGAGCTTTTATATGGCTGTTGCAATTCTTTTACCAACTCCCTCTTTTCTGACGGGAACTAACAATCTACGGTTACATGTGCTCAATAGTCCAAGCGTATGAGATTGTAGAATACCGAGATTTACTGTGAAACATGGATGTAAGAGCACGATGATTCTTCGTCAAAAACCTGTTGTGGTTACATTCAGCTTCCTTGTCTGCTTACTTCGCGTTGTTCGTAGCTCTACGACATGGCAGTGAAAGTAAATTTTACGTCGATTTTATGTCCTGCAGCACGTTTTGACATTCATCAGCTCATCCTCTCGCAACTTGCTACCCATTTTGGTATGCTGCTGCTGCTGCATATTTTTCCTGTTTATGCTAATTTGCTTTTATTTATCTGAGCTCGGTTTTAGAGTATCTAATAGAATTTCTAACTTAGCCACGGCCGCTTTGAAAGGTTGATTGGATTTGTATTCCCCAATTGTTAGAATCTTACCATCGCCGGTGGATTGGAGTTTGGATCTTGATATTTTTATTTATCTCTCAATCTTAACTCTATATCATAAAGGCAAGGGGAAACATCTTTTCCTAAAAGTCTGTGGATCTATTTCATATGTTGGAGACCCATCAGAACGTCGCCTGCAGGCTGCACTGCATATTACCTGCTGATTACTCCAGAGGCATCTACTTCCCTCCACTCGAGCTCAAAAAGTAGGCACCAACTTTTGCAAGGTTGTTTATTATAAGCAAACCAAACGGCGAAGCCTTACCTCGCATATTTACCGCTACCAAAACATTTCTGGAAGCTTTACGGAATTTCCTGCCTCATCTCTGCTAAACCGAAAATTGCGCACAACGACTGGTTCACATTAAACGAATACTTAACCAAGAATCCAGGTTCACTTTGGAAGCTGTTACCGATTACCTCTAACTGTCATATACATTGGCTACTCTACGTTGCAGACCAACACTTATATTATTTTCTGTACATAAAATATCTTCAGCTTAGTTCATTGCAAACATTGCGATCTCGACTGACAGAGTGAGACTAGTTAGCTACGGCTGAATATTGGTCGTCTTCCTCACCAGCATTGTAGACATATTAGCCACTCGTTTGCAAGCCTTCGCATCGGCGATTTTCCAACCAACTAGAAATGCGGTCACAGTGTTGAGCGCTAAAATGGCGGTAGCAGGTATCATCGAGAATATATAGGCTACTGTTGATGCATTCACTCGCATCCAGGAGCATAGGAGCCACTGTGATATCACAGTTTGATTATGTGATAACCAAGTTCGGCCTCCTTACATGGTACCAGTGTCCAGAAAATTCATGAGGCTGAAGCGATTTTGTTGCCAAAAAGCAGCACGCAGTCAGATGGGCCGCAAGTTACCTATAAGGATTCGGCATCTCCCGAAAAAGGTCACAACAATTTTTCAAAAAGTCGACTACAGGAGACAGAAGATGAGCTGACATTTCGAAATATGCGGAACTACTATACATCAGAAGGCCACCGATGGAACATACGGATGCAAGCCACCATTCTGGACCTCGCCCGGAAAGCAAAACTTGCTGTTCAAGTACACGAGACATCGTCAAATATACAAGCCATCCACGTTCTTCTTGAGGAACAAGAACAGAAACCCACAGTTGACCTACTAGTGGTGTCCAAGGTCTGCAGAGAACAGTACGTAGGTCTATATTAAGCACCAAATTCCTTGTGAAATACAATCCTGCCCAGGCTCAACTACAAACGGCCTCTAACCGGCTTGGTCTGGTCTTATTCGTCAACCCATGCACATGATTGACCCATTCTGCGCGTTGGGTCCTGAAGGAATCCATCCGAGGATCCTGAAGGAAATGTCGCTTTCACCGGCAAGTCGTTTTTATCTGGTGTTTCGTCGGTCGACTGACGAAGGCTCCATTCCCTCTAATTGGAAGAAAGCTATTGGCAGATCGATCTTCGGAACTGCTGATTGGCCATTCCCTGGCAGCTACAGTGCTATAAGCCTACCTACCGTGCCGTGCAAGGTTATTGAACGCATTCTGAAGCGAGCTATCCTAGCTCACCCTACTTCCAGTAACCCGATATCTCCAGTTCCACATGGATTTCCCCCAAGCATTTCCAGTGTGACCAACATGTCGTATTTATGGACAGCTTAACCCAACCCAGGGACTTGGGGCTCATATCGGATGCCATATTTTCCGACTTCACGAAAGCATTTGATGGGGTCCGATACGTCCCACTGCTTTACAAACTTGGGCCTTACGGGACTCAAGAGAATACCCTACACAGGATTAAGTTGTCCATAACAGGCAGATCATTCTGAGTGAATCTATGTTCTACCTATTATTCTTCAGCACCGGTCTCCATTGGGCCGGCCCTTGGTCTACTGCTATTTCTGATATGGGTCAATGACCTTCCAGATGTTCTTGCAGGTCCATGCCTGCGTTTTGCGGATGGCTTGAAATCCTGAAGTTCTAATGCCAGTGCCCTCCAAACGGGCGTAGGCGCTTCAGAGCAGTAGTCGTTGGACTGTCCCCTTTCTCCGAATGACGAGAAGTGCGTCCATAAGTCACCTTAGGGGACAGCGATTGCCTTTGTCATGTAGGTGAGAGAGGACAAGAGACCATCACGAGGATAGACACCAAAAAGGATTTGGGTATCTGGCTCCTTTCAAACTTGTCCTCTTGACTGCACCATGAAAAATCAGTGCAAAATGCAATGGCTCTTCTCCGAATAATTTGGCGCACGTCTTCCCGTATTGCTCTCATTGACTTCCAAATACTCCATGTGGCCTACGTCAAACCGCTCCCGTAATGTGCCAACTAAACTTTCTGCTCTGGACGTAACCCGCGTTGACCGTGTCTGGAGAACTGCTACGAAAATGGTTGCTGGCCTTCAATCCGTAGACAGTGAAACGTGTCTCGCACTGCTTGGCCCCGTTCCTCTGGGTATCGCTCCCTTCGAGGAGATCTAATTCTGTTTGAACAAGGTTTGACTAACAGGTTTTTCACCATTCATCTGGCAAACACACGTCGAGGACATAGTAAGGAGATTTTCAAGCACAGCGCGCTCATTTTCATTGGGCAATTTTTACTCAATTCGGGTGGTTGCCGCGTGGAGTAAACCCCCTCTGACAGTTGTCTGCGCTCCATCTATAACCCAGTTTAGAGCACTATTAGACACTTTTTATGCGAGTCCTCTCGTTGGCCTGCTTACTGCTGCGCGCTGAGAGTTCAAATAACAATGCTACACCCTTTCTACACTTGTGCCTTTCGGCCGAGCGTCTTACCCGGCCATGTGCTTGACCAATTTTGGGATGGCTGAGGGCAAACGGCCCTTTAAGCTTTTGTTACTTACTCTTCAAACTTGGCAAAGGTGTGCTTGATGTGCCTCAATCATTTAGCATCCTTTGCCGTACAATTCAGTTGCTCTCAGCACGATATTTCACCACGCTTGTGTTATGCCACTTATATTCTGTTGCCATATCTCCTCCGAAAACTGAGAGCTTATGTTGCGATGTCCTGAGTATTTCATTTCGGGCGTGACTTCACTTATCGCTTGTCAATATAAAATTATCTTCATGCGCCATGGTGCGCCATCCACTGTTTTAGAATGAACATTATAAATATTTGACCGGGGTAAGTAATCTAACTACACCGCAGCCAGATAGAAATTACCTAAAGATGCATATATTTTGTTAAAAGATCTCGCTGGAGTAAAAGAATACAAACTCTGGTGTATCACCAAGGGCGAAAAATTATTAGTTGGCATTTGAGGGTTAACTTGAGTTGGGAGATCCAATTAGTGCAGCATTGCTTAACCTAGGCCCAAAAATGATGAGCCAGGAAGGACCTAACAAGATGAAAGCACTCAGTTTCCAGAGGTGAACTTGAATTGTTTTATTACTGAAAACGGCCCTTGTTGGCTACGTGTGGGACATGCTGTTTCAGCTGTGGGATCCATAAAATGAGATTGTCACTACTGCCACCGAAGCGGTGTATTGCGGTTTCTTCATCATCTGACTACCGAATGGTGGAACTCGTTTACCAAGGACACAAGGTCATATGTGATAGCAAACTGCGTTTAGAGTCAACCAATAACGCGATGTTAGTCTGCTTCATCAGAAAGGGTTCATGGGTTCCTCATGTACGGGAAGTTTCCACTTTTTCTCCAAAGTTATTTCAACTTACGTGACCTTGCGGTCCGTGCAGCAGATAACCAGGTTCAACCATTTTAATGCGATTCGCTAAAACGAACATCACAGGTAATTATGCTCACTGAAAGGGCAGAGTTCAGATTTTACTTGGCGATTGCTTACAGGGTTCGGCAACTTCACATTTCGCAAATAGAGGATAAAATGCCGCGTTTTTGTCGGCGTTGTTTCGGCGATCAAATTTATTTGCTTAAACACCATCTGCTTCAAGTAATTTGGAACAGGACAGGCTCGCCATATAAAGCCATCAGATAAATGGTGGGAGGAAGAAGAGGCAGTGTTGAAATGCTTGTACACAAACTGCCTCAGCCTTTTCAACAAACTCGGCGATGTTAGACAGTCAGCTTGCCTTGAAAAACCGTCCATAATCGCA